TGGCACTACCTTATTTTTCGGTAAAAATATATTTTTTTGTCCTATAAAAGTATTAGAAGCAGGCGAATATGCCATTAAGATGTGTGATTTTAACAATCTGATCTGCCCCCCCCCCCCCCCCAGAGCGTCAAGCTGGATACGTCACTGCCTGTAGCTCTAAAAAGACCGGCATGGCACAAGGCACAAGCAGTACAGTACAACGAGTAACGTAACGACCGATCTTGGTCATGCCGTCTTGCAATCACACTTTACCCCCACTTTATCGACGGAGAGTTTATAAACTTCATTCAGTAATTAGAGCAAGTATAAAATAATTCTAGCAAGAATAATCCATTCTTGAATGAAATTGTACCAAATATCCATTTGAGATTAGTTTAATTTTAACCCTAAGGAAAACTATTCTTAATATAATTAATTAAAGCATTGGTTCAAGGATGTCTTTCTTCCAATTAAAAATGAATATTCTTGGTTTAAAAATAAATTTCTTTTGATTCAACACAATGCAAACAATTAACTGTAAAATTTTTTGACGTAAGTTTTGCAATTTCTAAAATAAATGCGAATTAATTATTGAACACAATTTATATCTGTTCTTCATTTAGGCCAGGGCAGTTAGCTGAAAAAATGGCGTTTAGGAGAAGTTTTTGCAATCAAGCTGATTTTTTCACAGATGATAGTACCCATGAATAGTACTCTGTAAAAAAAAGTTACACCTCCTAGGAGGCTTGCTTTTTGCGCCATAATGAATTGAAGATGGCGGCTGGTGCTATTCTTGAATAAAAACGTAACTTTCTTATTTATTTATTAATCGATTTTCGTCAAGTAAAAAAAATACCTTTGTTTTGGACTAAAGAATGAGATGGAATTATAAAACCATTTCGACAGGTAGTATTTCTGTCAAAAAAAAATAGGAAAATAAATTGAATTGGTTTTCTTCAATTTTTTCTGAACCGTAGCTGTAAACTTTGACCAAAGTCTCTTTGACCGTAGGTACTTCTTAGCAAAAAAGTTTAAAAATATGCGCTTTTTTTTCTGATTTTGAAACAGTTTTCGAGTTATGCAGGATGTGAAAACTTTATTTTTTGGCTCGATTGACATAATAACAGTTGCCTTTGGTTTTAGCTAACAAATATATTGTTTCTGTTAAATAAAACGCAGTGTACTCGTTGAGTATTTGTGGACGACTACAACTGTGCCTCTCCACTTCTTTACTTTAAACAGGAAAATATGAAGTATATGACATTCGAAATTGACACATTTGTCATGTACGACTTTTACAGTAAACATGATACTAGTACAACTAAATGATAATAGAGGGCGGTACATATTATTGTTAATTACAGTGACTCTATAACCCACAGTGGCGACAATTGCTGTCTCATTTTTGATTGGTTCTAAAATCCCATATATTTACATTGAAAACACCTCCATCTTGTTCCCAACCCCTTGTTACTTTTAAATATGAATATATGGGATTTAGGTGAACATCCATCATAAATCATGGAAAACAACGTATTTGATGGACATAATAATGGTCATCAAATACGTCGATTTCAATTTTTTATGATAGATGTCCATTTAAATCTTATAGGTATATTAATTATTTAAAAGTAACAAGAGGTTGGGAACAAGATGGCGGCGGGACCTCTATTGTCGCCACTGTATGTAAAGGTTTATTTAGCCACTGTATTGTTAATAACTATTTACCAGTTTCTACTACCGCGCGTAAAGTACTTACTTTACGCACTGTTCAAAAGACGTGAAAATAGATTTCACGCACTATTGCGTAAAGTAATTCACAACAGCAAAAAAGTTTATTAAGAGCGGGTATTATAAAACTATTTTGACAGATAACTAGAAGTTAACTTCTGGAATTACCACGAGAAGTAAAGTCATTCGAGAAGTTAACTTTTAGTTATTCTGTTAAAATAGTTTTATAATACCTGCCCTAAATTGTATTAGTTTCTTCGCAAAAATGAAATAAATACCCACAAGTATGAAATTTTATATCATAAAAGCCTCGATAAAAGCCTTTGCTGCCCTTTTTCTGCACTAAAAATGTGGTTTTACTTTACATCCTAGGTTGTGAACTAACTTAACCACTAGGGCGTAAAGTTGCGGTATATGTATGTTTTCAAATGTATGGCTTTTATAACATAAAATTTTATACTTGTGGGTTTTTATGCATCTAATTCAACGTTTGATCAGTGCGTAAAGTAAGTACTTAGTACTTTACGCAAAGCAGTAGAAAAAAAAAACAACTAAAACCAAAGGCAACTGTTTTGATGTCAATCGAGTCAAAATATGTATTTTTTGTAACAAGTAGGTAGGTACTTAAAAAACTAATATTTTAGGTACGTGAAACAAACAAAACTTTTTTGTAATAGCTCTAAGATGTGAAGTGAATGTGACATTAAAAATTTTGAACTGATTATGCATTGGCAGGTGCGACAGGTACATGCTATGACGACTTTTAGGAACTAGGCCGAAAATGAAGCATTTTACGCTGTAGGCCGAAAATGGGGATTTGCGGACTAGGCCGGAAATGAAGCAATTTACGGACTGAAATGAGTCCAAAAATACCTATTTTTGGGAGCGTATACAAAAAATAGAGTTTTCACATCCTGCATAATTTTTTTTTTTTTGGATTCTCAAGTTCTTTTCGCCTATATCTCGCGAATTACTCAACCTATCACAAACTCAAAAACTGTTTCAAAATTAGAGAAAAAAGCGCATATTTTTTAAATTTTTTTATTAAGAAGTACTTACCTACCGTTCATAAAAAATTGAAGAGAACCAATTCAATTTCTATTCCTATTTTTTATTTTTTTGACAGAAATACAACCTGTCAAAATAATTTTATATTTTCATTTTATTCTTTATTCAAAAATAAAGGTATTTTTTTTTTACTTGACGGAAATCGGTTAATAAATAAGAAATTTAGGATTTTTTTCAAGAATAGCACCAGCCGCCATCTTCAATTCATCATGGCGGAAAAAGCAAGCCTCCTAGGCAGGGATGTGCGTCTACACGTAGACTTTCATTGTCTACTTTACGTGTAGCCAATGTAGACAATGTAGACAACGTGTCAACAATGTAAAATAATATAAATAACCTCACACTTTCCTTTTTTTAATTTATTTTTATTTTTTTATTGGTTTTTCTGATATTTTATAATCAGTGAATGCTTGTATCGAAGTGATAGTGATATTATAGTAACTTTTGATATTTTTTTTCGAATTTTTTAAAATAGGTTATTGTTTACGCCGCATGTAGACAATGTGTAGACAAATGCTCACGTAAACAATTCGAATTGTCTACGCGTAGACAATCAATTGTTTACGTTGACATTGTCTACAGGCACATCACTGCTCCTAGGAGGTGTAACTTTTTTTTACAGACCACTATGCCATTATTGATGGTTACTATCGCCGCCATACCGCCCCAAAGGCGTTCGAAAGTTTACAAGGGAATAGGTTTCGAAAAAATTATGCCATACTTATCGTCAAAGCTGGGCAAAAAACTGTTAATCCGTTATCCGTTAGGTAATTAACGAAGTTAAAAAAATTGCTTAAATTTAACTTTTAAGTTAACCTAAAAAATATTAACGGTTTTCTTAACTTCCGTTACATTGGACTTCCGTTAACTTTAGTCCTTTACGTTCGTAAATGACGTCATTTTGTTTGCTTGAATTGCGCGTCAAGGTCAATCGGGACAGTTCGCACAGGCGTAGAAAGATTTCAGTTCGCTACACTACGTAGTTTGGAACTGTTCTGGAATGACTCCAAACCCGATTCCGTACAGTGAGATCGATGCGCAAGCCCTTAAGTTCTGTTGTTAGGTATATAGGCTGTGAGCTGAGGCATATCGTTGGGCTGTGGCGTTGTCTGCATTGTTCTATAAGCTCCTTTTTCTTACAGAGGCGAATGGTGAATAAATCAGCTACCTAAATTGGAAATAGTACCGCTTTTTAGATATAGATACTTTTTGTTTTATTCACATTCACTTGTGGAGGAGTGTAGGTATAGTATTTTTAATACCCATTTGAAATAACAAATAACACCATCCTTGTTCATCAATCATGAATAAGATGAAACAAAAAATTACCAACCAATCACAAATCACTAAAACGACTGGTACTTCCAAATAGGTATTAAAAATACTATACCCTAGCCCAGCCTATTCTATTTCAATTATCTATTACTTCTAATTAGCTTCAAACATATGTAATGGTGATATTTTTTTATACTGGGTGCGTTGACATGAAACTTATTTGCTACAGTTTACAAGTCTTATGAAACGTATTCCTCAACAAATGTATAGGGTGTTACAAAGCGTTTAGCATTATTAAAGAAATCTACGCCTTTGGGGCGGTATGGCGGCTACTTCGAACCATTGGAACGGTGATTTTCGTGAATGACTCCTCAAAGATGATCAGTTTTAAAAAAAAATAGCTTGTTACAAATAATCTAAAAAATAATAAAATGCAAACAATTAACTGTAAAATTTTTTGACGTAAGTTTTGCAATTTCTAAAATAAATGCGAATTAATTATTGAACACAATTTATATCTGTTCTTCATTGTATTCTTGTCATTTTGTTAGATTGAGAATACAACATGTCCAATAAAATATATTGTAATCTTGGCGATCAAGAATATGCGTTTTCTTAACGCGTGCCGATCGGTATGGCGGGCTATAAGCCCCACCGGAAAGTATGGCATTTTGATTTCGACTAGTTCCTTTTTCATAAACTATTGAAAAATACACTCCCTTCTTTGTGCTACAAAGCGTTTGAAAGTTGAAACCCGCAATTCATCTGACAAGTTCGATTAATCGCTATGGGATTATGCTCCAAGGGCAAAAGGCATCATCTTTTTCGTTTTCCTCATTACGTATGTAATTCGACCTCTAGGGGGTCGCCATACCTGTAACAAATGACTCACTTTTTGTGTTATGAGCTCCCAGTGTAAAAGGAACTTAATAAAAACACTTGATATTTTCCTAATAATTTATTGCTATTTACAAATTAGCAGTAATACAAATTAAAACACCCAAAAATTAAGAGACAGGTAACAATGGTTTTAATATTAATATAAACGTAAAAAAAATTGCCAGTCCACACAACTGACTTTACTTATGCTTATATACAATCATAGGTAATTATGAATTAACAAAATATGCGAGACTATAAATTGAATAGAAAAGTTAATAAATTACCTAGAGCATATTTACAGGTCTTTCGGTTATCATTCTTTTTAGGGAACCAATAGTTTTGTATGCAAGTTGTAGCAACTATTTCAAAAAATAATTATTTGATAAAATTTCGAACGTAGTTTTATTGCATTAAATATCACAGTAGTAGATACAATGGTTTTTTGTATTAAAAAAAATTATATACAAGATTTAGCCGATACTTTGATGAAAATACATTTTAAAAGAAAACAGAAAATTTTCTAAATTTCCACATTAATTGTTTTCTTTGAAAATTTATATTATACAAGAACTTGATTCCTCTAAAAGTGACTATAAAAATAAATTTTAAGGCAGTGAAAAAATATTTGTTAGTAGTTTTTAATTTAACATGTCTTGTAATGTTCCACTCTATCTTCTAGCCTTGCCGTATAACGCGTCATTTTGTCAATCAGATCTTTGAGCTGATTTTCCAACTTCATCAACTCTGCGTCTTGATCACTTTCCTGTAATTCCCTTATCTTGTTTCGATTATCTGTAACTTTCTCAACTAAATCTAAAGCTTTTTTTGATAAATTCTTTGCTCTTTCCTTCGACTTGTCAACCTTATTTAACGTTTGGCCTAAATGATCTCTTGCATTTTTGTAATCATCTTGGAGTTGCTTAGAATCTGCCCAAGTTTTCTCAGCTTTCTTCAAAGTATTTACAGATTCTTCAATTGTTCTGTTAGCTGAGTTTTCGTTCTCAGTGATGTTCTTTTGCAGGGCTATGATGTTCGCTTGGAGGTCTTCTAGTTTTCTTTTAATATCATTGCCTGCAGCTTCCTTGGTCTTGTTTCCGATCTATAACAATAGGAATAATATACTTATATAATTCTCAATGCATGGATTTGCGTAAAATTGGGTCATTTATTTGGATCGAATTTTTAACAAATCCATTAATATTGTGATAAATTGGGTCAAATCAAGGTTACCAAGAAAAAAATCGGATGATTCGCAGTTAAAATAAAACAGATACCTAATACATATTTGAGTTTGTGCCAGCGTGACATCATGCAAGTGAAACAAAGGGTCGGTCTGGACTATCGGCGGGGCGCACTGGGGTACAAGGTGTTTGGAAAAAAAAATGAGAAATGTAGCAAATTGCAAAATACTTACTTGAATAAAATATAAGAGCATTGTGTTGTGTGATCAAAATCAATCATTATCTTCATAAAACTATCAAGAATCTAGAACTGTTTGAAATTAGGCGACGTAGTTACTTTTTTGCTTTTGTATGGAACTTTTTTTCCTAAATTTTATACTTTCTGACATAAGGTATACTATGGGCACCTCTGCCCCCTCTTAAGACTAATACATACATATTATATACATGCATAAGAAACAGGCCAGTAAAATTTATGAATATTCGGCCATGTAGGTACATTAATGGTCCTTATAATTAGAATGGCTTCTACAACTTAAACAAAAAAAAAAAAATAGGAAAAAAAAGTTGACAGGCAAATGTAGCTACATACATAATAAATTATTCAGGTTACTTACTTTATTTTTTAAATTAACTTTTGGTGAGGGGTTTTTTGCATTACAGTATTCCCAGAGTTTAAGATTTTCTTTCAATATGAAAGGTTTGGATTTTATATTTTACCAGAATTTCAAAGAAGGGTCGTTATTAATTTATTGTTTCCAGACTCATTAAAAAATAATTGTCTTTTTGAAGTGAAAACTTCTTTAGGCATGGCCAGAAGTCAGCACATTTTTTTTTGGGTAGTGAATGATATTGAGCCATCATATCCAAATAGGTGACGCTCATTTGAGGGTACATTTAGCGCGAGTGCACTTCGACCAGGCGAGAGAGAGAAACAGTCAGCAGTGCGAGAGAGAGATAGCATGATTGGGATTCAATCGAGACTCTCCATAGAACAAATCTTAGAGTCGTTGCCGATTTCATTGGCAAGAAGTTGCTAGATAAAAAGTGACTATAATTCAATAACAAAGAAAGAAAAGGCAATCCAACGACCTGTAACAAAAAATTATTATGGCGGCAATGGTCAAATATCTATGATGTTTGTTTATTCAACCAACGTTTTATTGGGTAGTACTGAATCGAACTGATGAGATGACGATCAGTCAAAGCAAAATTTACCACAGTAGGTAATTTAAGTATACACAGTTATAATTATATACATTGTTAGTAAATGTTATTACTTTCTGAATAAGAACAAAAAAAAATCGTATTTTTTTGTCGAGAAATTTGAAATGGGTTCCTACACTTTTAACAAATTTGACAGCAATGTATTTCTTATAGGGGATTCAAAAGAGTAATCTCGCCTTGTTGAAGCTGTCACTTCTTCGTGTGGTCTTTAGCTTAAGCACCCACATTGTAATTCTTTTTTATCTTCTTTTTAAATCCTTATTTGTTATATTATTTTATCCTTATTTTTATCCAATTCTTATCTTTTCTTAGCTATCTGTATAAATCCACAGGCAGTGTTGCCATTTTTCTCTAACACAGTTCCTGTTAATCTTCAACAAATGCATTGATGTCGCGGGCTCCTTACTATCGGTCTATAACGTTCTACGTCTTCCGCTTGTCCACTCTACTACTCCAGCTTCTTCTGGGACTGCCGCGTCTCCTTTTCCCCCCTGGCTTCCAGACAATGATTTGCTTGGGTATGCTCGTATCTGCATTCTTTAAACGTCCGAACAAAATCAGTTAGTTGCCTTTGATATCATCTAGGTACTATTGTGTCCCTTACGTTCCTAATTTCTCTAATTCTCTGTTTCTTATCCTTTCTATTGCTGATCTGCCTGCCGCTTTCCTCTAGAAGTCAATTTCCGCTGCTTCCAGTATTTTCGCGTTGGCCAGACCTCTAAACTATATAGGGTGTTCCTGAAGGCGCTGATACGAATGAGCGCTGGTACAGTGAGAGTCATTGCAATTTGCACACACTTTACAAACAACCCCCGTAATGTGTCAAAATTTTACTGCTTTGACACATGGGTAATGTCAAAATCGTGTCAGATTGATAAATCAGTGGTGAACTTAATAGTTTTAATATTGGTTTTAATGAACTTTTGAAGGAAAAAAATATTTTTACACTTCTGCACTAAATAGATTTATTGGTTGAAATGAAAATTGAAAATGACTTTACACGAGGGATGTTAAAATAGTATAGTTTGTGCTAATTGCAATGATCCCACTGTACGAAAGAGCGCAGGACAAAAGAGCGCAGAATAAAATAGCGCGGATAAAAGGGCGGGGGGTCAAAAGAGCGCACGGACAAAAAAGCACACCGACAAAAGAGCGCACGGACAAAAGAGCGTACAGACAAAAGAGTGCAGAGTCAAAAGAGCGCACGGACAAAAAAGCGCAGGTTCAAAAAAGCGCATATGTTATAAAATACAAGAAAAAAGTATTTTTTTACATGACTGTCTAGTAGACAGTGGCTACATTGGGTTACTCAATAAAAACAATTTCGAATGGAATTGAAAATAGCCCAAACTGACCCGTCCTCGGAATGCGATCAACACCTGAAAAAAAGAATACTAGTGCGACTTTTATTGATAGTTTTGATCTTGATCAATTTTGAGGTGGGCCGGTCGCATTCCGAAGACGGGTTCAGCTTGGATTAGTTCATGTTATTTTGTAATCGAGTAGTTCCCGTTTCAGAAATGGATCAATATTTGCGCTCAGTTACATATAATTGACCATATTAGTTAGGTTGGGAAAAATCGGGGCGAAATTTGAAATGAGTTCCTACTTTAGCTCCCCACACATTTCAACAAATTTGAAAGCAATGTATTTCTTATGGGGAATTCAAGATTCGAAACAGTAATTTTCACAGGAATATCTCGGATTCTGGGCATTTCTTAGTATTTGAACCTATAATAAGTCAAACTTTGAACATATTTCTCTACAATTCATGCTCTAATCGTTGCCTATGAGTTAAAAATACAAATGATTATAATTAAAAGTGTCTGTTTTCCGTGGACGTACGTCGGGTGTTAGTTTTAATGTTTGTCAGCAAGGCAAGAGGGCAAGTGATGCCAGCAGTAAGAAAGTGGGGTTGTGTGTTGTGTTGTGTTATTTATTTATTTATCACTAGTTTAGTCGTTGTTTGACGATTTTTTTGAAATTATTGAAGTAACATCTACTAACCAAGTATGTAGGTACACTTTTATTTTATTATAATTATAGGTACCTACCTTCTCATACAGGGTGTTACTATGCGCGCGGTGGTCTATATCTCCTATACTAACGGAGATCGAAGAATAAACTAAATACAAAACTTGTAGATAAACATGAGTACTACATTCCTAAATTTTTACAGTATACAAGGTGGCCCAATAAGTAGTGATGACATAAAGTTAAGTTTTTTAAAATGACTTCCCCTGTATATTATGACATTTCTGGATTCTGCGGAAAATTCTAGACATATTTCATGTACAATGTCATATATCTATCCTCAACTGTTTCGGAAATATTGACAGTTGAAAATTGACTTTATTGCATCTTTGACAGACTGTAAAACCTGAACGGTTAATTCTACAGCAAAACCGATCATACATATTCAACCGATCATCTTAGTTTTTCATAAACTATCATTTGACACCAACTTTGAATTTCATCCATGATTAAAAATTCCGCTCAAATTATTAATCTCCAGTTAAATTCAAATTTGGTGTCAAATGATAGCTTATGAAAATCTAGGATAAGAATGTAAAATCGGTTTCGTTGTAAAATCAACCGTTTCGGTCTTACAGGCTGACAAAAATGCAAAAAAGTCAATTTTAAACTGTCAATATCATCACTACTTATTGGGCCACCCTTTATACTGCAAAATAATTTAGGAATGTAGTACTTATGTTTATCTACAAGTTTTGTTTTTAGTTTTTTCTTTGATCTCTGTTAGTATAGGAGATATAGACCATCGCGCGCTCAGTAACTCACCCTGTATATTAATGGATCAAGCAACGACATAAGTATTTTATACAAACATCGCCTTCCTAAATTGTTTATATTTTTATTTTAACAATGTTTATTCAATTTTCAGACACTACTGGGTGGAATTAATAAAAATAATAAGGATTTACTTAGAAGCATTTGCTTGTAAGCAAAAGGTTTTGCTTTTCAGCAAATGCCAGTAGTACAAGCAAATCCTTATTTTCATATTAATAACCAAATACTTTTGCCATAAGGATATGCTTGTATGAAAACTTGAGCTAAAATTATTAACAAATGCATATTATCTTTTTTTATTCTTGTTTTGGAATTTTATCGTAAAAGAACATTCTAGTCTAATAAAGGGTATAAAAAAATTAGTGTACCCAGAATTCGAGGGGTGATAGGTACTACATTATGGAAATAAAAAAAAAAAAAAACTTTCTATAAACATATGCCCTAAGATGCTTCCTGAAGAAGTTACAGCCCTTCAAATGGTAGATGAAAATAATAGATTTCATTTATTCTTAAAAACAGTAGCAAACCATTTTCCTTAAAATTTGGAATTTTCGCATACATTTTCATGCCAAAGCGAATAGTGATAGTAAAAAAGCCGCAACAGTTCTGAAAGGGTAGTTTCCATAAGGGTAGTTACTAACAAAACGAAAAAGCATTTTAGGGCATATCTTCATAAGATTTTTTTTTAGTTCCGTTTAGTTCCGTAGGTGAACATTTAGCAGATGTTCAATTTGCCATCGATAGAAGTGCAGAAAAATAACGCAATTTTGCAACGTTATGTAATATGAAACATGAATTGTTGGAACTGAAGCAAGTGATAATCGAACTATGTTGTGTAATATTGGAATTGGAATTCAACATTTCAAAGCGAGAGTTGAAACCAACTAAATAGACAAACTTATATTTTTAGGAGCATTTGCTTATTTTCACTAGCAAACTCCTAATTTTATTAACCTATGTCACAGATTACTTACATACAGATGCGAAAGAGCGGCGAATTCGTGGTTCAAGATTAATTTGATAGACATAGGCTGGCCGCACCAATGCCACATCAATGTATTTTGAACATATTTATTATATAAATGCGGAGGCTCAATAATATAATATTATTTCTTTAATTGGTTCACAAACAGCAAAAAAATATTTTTTTCTACCCGCAAAAATATGTAAACACACAGGCTGGAACATGCTCACGCACTCGGCCACGTTAATAATTGTCCTGACGCGGGCGATCTTTATCTATGCGTGGGGCCGCTGGCGGCCCGGCTTCGTCACAGAATATCGTCGACATCAAGTATACGTACTTACGCATCTGTATTAGGTGATCTGTGCCTATGTGGTGCAAATACTTATGCTAGTGAGCGTCAGCAAATGCTTATTGCAAAGGATTTGCTTTTTCTTTTTATTAATATAAAACCAAGCATTTACTGAGAAAAATAGTAGTAAAAGCAAATGCTCATTTTTATTAATTCCACCCACTCTCTCAGTCAATTAACATATCAAAAAAACTATGTAGGTGTTCAACTTACTTCCCTAACACACTTTCTATCACGTATACAGACGCTTCTAAAATCGAGTCCCCATATTAAGCTTGTTTAATATTTCACGCCTACAATCAGTCGTGGAGGGACCAGCAGCTGTAACTTTGCAGTTTACAATAATAGCATCTAATACAAACGAAGCCATATCCACAACCGAACAGAGAAAACTCCTTGACAATGTAAACACATTCACGAAACGATGGAACGAAAGCATAGACCACAAATAATTCAAAGTGTGGACCACGTTCGTTATTCGCGACCAGTGGAAACTTCCCTTTTTTAGTAATCTCTGATCAAACAATCAATGCGTGCTCATTGCATTCTGTTGCGCTATTTTACCTTCGCGTTCTTTTAACCCTGCGCTCTTTTGTCCGGGCGCTCTTTTAACCCTGCACTTTTTTGTACGTGCGCTATCTTGAACTTCGCTCCTTTGCCCGTGCGCTCTCTTAACCCTACGCCATTTCGACCTGCGCACTCTTTCGTACCAGTGCCGTTCCTAAATATCATGTCACTCACGCCACTGGAGTTTAAAGTTTTAATGGAATCAGGTAGCCTCTTGCCACTACAAGCAAACCTGCCAAGTCTCACCAAGATTGGCGAAACAGTGTTTATGTAATGGATGAATGAATTTTTTTTTTTTAAACTTTAATACCCTACTTCTTAAAATTAAAGCAATTTAAGTCGTATATTTATATGAGCTTTCAGTCATAAAATAAGCCAAGGAAAGGAATTACATCCTTCAATAGTTACATAATATCTAAGACCGCCTGGGGACTATGCTTTTAACAATGGTGTATAGGTATTCTAGTTTTGTTTTTTGATTTCAGGGTACTCCATTTAGTATGGATATTGCCTTCCTTGTATATTCCGATCTTCCATTGCTTTGTCTAGGGTTCCCTCATGCGAGATTTTCATTCCCAAATACTTGTATCAGTGCCTTGTTCTTATCCATTATTGAGTTTCAGGTTCCTATATTCATATATTCTGTTCCCGTCAGATTCACTTCCAACCCCATTTCTCGTATTCTATTTCATCATATTCCTGTGCAATAAATACCTAATCACCTGCAAAGCTAACAGTATTTAGGTTATATTCATTAAGCGGAAGCGGTATCCTAAAAATTAGCAAAAACATTTTAAATTCTTTCGTTTTAGGAAACAGGATTTAGAAAAAGCTTCAGACTAAATTAGAAAATAAATCAGAGACAAATAACACAAACCAACTGCGGTAGACTGGTAGAAACGATTATTTCCTAGCCTATTTAAAACAAATTTATACATGGCGACAGGATTTTAATTAAGTTCAATATTCACCTCATTTAAAATATTCATTGTAGCATCATAGTCACTCCAAGCCTTTTCAATTGCTTCTTCTGCTTCTGATTGAGCATCCTGAGTTTTGGTAAGAGATTGGTTTACTGCTTCAGCATCAGTCAACAGTTTAGTTGCATTAGATCTAAAATTTAGAACTTTGGTAAAAAAAAAAACTAGCGTGATAGGTACTAATCTTAATAATGTATCTAGTGGTTAGTTCATTAATGGTATTGAATGAATGGAATATTTTTTTCTACTGTCTCAAATATTAGTTCAAAGTGGCTGGATTTATTAGACACTCACTACTCTTGAGCTAACTCGTTATATGAATGAAAAACAAAAACAAACTTTATTGTGACTTGCCAGAAGGTAAATAGAGCTAGTGTATATTTGTTTTGTGCCTAACAGAACAAGATGCATAAAGGCGTTTTAGGGTATTTTAAGATCGATTTAAAAAAAAAAGAAACGCATGGACACGTTAATTTTGTATTCAAGGGGGAAACTTTTTGACCCCATCGGTATTTCGCTAGGGTGGTGTGACTTTCGGCCCTCTTTTTTAGATAGGGAAGCTGGGTCGAGTGGAACCTTGTTTTTTCAGAAGCACAGTGAAATTGACGTGTCCGAGAGAAAAGTATTAATTTGAAAATAACAGAGCCAGAAAATTGTTTCTTATTTAGCCCATGGCAACTTTGACAGTTACCACGTTTATGCTTCCTAAACCGTTTTAGCAGAAAACGTTTTACTATAAGATGCTTCTATAAACACCCCATAAACCGTTTTATCTCGTTAAACCGTTTTGATTTAAAACGTTTTAAAAACATGTTTTACCCTTAATTGGTCGCGCCGGCGTAAAAAGTATGCTAAATGAGTGATATATTGAAACTTGAGATTGGCCGAAGGTGATCGCCTATGTAACCTACCACAATAGTGTCACAGATGCGAAAGTAGGTATACTTGTCGTCGACGATATTCTGTGACGAAGCCGGGCCGCCAGCGCTCCAACGCATAAAGATCGCCCGCGTCAGGACAATTAACGTGGCCAAGTGCGTGAGCATGTTCCAGCCTGTGTGTTTACATATTTTTGCGTAAGAAAAAATATTTTTTTGCTGTTTGTGAACCAATTAAAGAAATAATATTATATTATTGAGCTTCCGCATTTATATAATAAATATGTTCAAAATACATTGATGTGGCATTGGTGCGGCCAGCCTATGTCTATCAAATTAATCTTGAACCACGAATTCGCAGCTCTTTCGCATCTGTATGTAAGTAATCTGTGATAGTGTCTTGTATGCACTGGAAGAGTGGCGATCCCGTTGGTTTCCATTTCGCTTCGCTGCAGGGAGCTGCTTTGAATAATGAACTAATTGGCATACAAAAGACGCCACGCGAACGTTTATGATTTTTATTTTTATAATGGTTTATAATACTGTTTTCGCCTAAACTGTAACATTGATCTGGTTGGGATTGAAAATTTAAGTTATATGTGTCTTGCTATACCCGTTTAGCGAAAGGATTTTAGAAAATAAAGTTTGTTCGGTTGTCAGTATTTTCTTATTTTTTATAAATGAAATGCTTTTTTATTTTTTTGTGACACATTATATCTAATATTTTATGTGTTAATAAATCAATAATTTAAGTTACTAAGGATTCCACATTTCCACATTACTTTAAAGGTAGCAAAATTCGTCCCTATTATGAAAAGTCATTTTTATTTAAGTGGCATACAAATTACGCCAAGCGACCAGTTATGTGAAATAGAATCTAGCGACCAGTTAAGGGTTAAACCAATTTGGAAACGGTTCAAATACCTACTGCGTAAACATCTTGAACCGTTTTTAAGGAAGTGCCAGCACTGCTTGTTATGACATTTAAAAACTCTTTTGGAAAAAGCCCCATAGAAATATGAACACAGGATAAAACGTTTTAAGTTCGAAAACCTTTTGCGGTTAAAACGATTTAACGGAAGCATATACTTGGTAAGTGAATATCTTGAGAACTAATCATTCCATTTTCAAAAAAAAGGCACCTGTGACGAGAATCAAATTACCTTTAAAACAAGGTACCTACTACTCTACCCTCGATTCGACCCATCTACCCTATCTAAAAAAGATCGGTTTGGGTCACCCCACCCAGGGGGTGCACCCTAGCGAAATATCAATGGGGACAAAAAGTTTCTACCTTGAACACAAAAATGACGTGTCCGAGCGGTTTTTTTTTTAAATCGATCCTGAAATACCCCAAAACGCCTCTGTTTAGATATTCGTGAAACACCCTGTATATAAAAGAAAACTAAAAACTAATTTAACTTTGGTCTTTGGTACTTGGCAGTGTTTTGGCAATATATATCATGTAAGAAACTAGATGTGGTAATATGAAACATTTTTGGGCTTTGCAGAGTTCATATTTCATCCTTGCAATTTTTGAAATATTCTAGTTGAGATAGAAACCTTCGCTTCAAATCCGTCTATTATGATGTTGAATTACGAACAGTTCTGTACATACATATGAGAAGTTGTGAATTATAATAATGCCATTTCCAATAATCAATTTATAAAATGAATGCTGTGAAGAAAAGTTATTTATTTAGCAAGTGCAAGAAGTATTACGCACGCGACGTAAATATAGATAGATACAATTTCTTGTTGCTTGGATGGTTGATTATGCAAAACAAATTTTTAACCTCCACTTTAATTTCTAAAAGCACAAATCGTATCCCATTATCATTATGCTTAGTTAAAGAAATGGTAGGTATAGGTATATTAGTGATTTTGAAGATTTTTTCTAAAATCAATCAGGCTTTGCTTAGAAATTCAGAAAATAACAGGAGAGAAAAATAATATTTTCTAAAAAATTTCACTTTGTGGGTGAAAACGGTAAAAATAGACAAATTTAGTTAGATTTTAATAAAACACGCGAACAGCAAGCTGATATACTCACAAGGAGTTTAACAATAAATTTGTTCATGAAATTTAGGAATATGTTGAGTTTAAAGGATTGTAGGATGATAGAAGGTGTTACGTCACAAATCGAATGTTTCTCAAAAAAAGAAGAATACATAAACTTGTTTGTTTTTGTTGCTGAGACATAATTATACAATGTGTCCACTTAAGTTCGCAGCATATGGGAAACCTTTTTATTATCAATTTTACGAAAAAAGTTATTCTCCAAAAAAGTTTAAGTTTCTGCTTCTTGAATAAAATAATATTAAACTATTGAAACTTGGAATAGCATGTACAGGGTGGTCAGAGAATAGCGATTGCTTTGAACCGTTCTAGAACCGTCCTTTTTTCGAACCAAAACAAAGCTATTATTTTCATTGGAATTGATTTCGTATTTTGCTTTACTGCTCCTACATTGAAATTATTTTGTTCAATTGTTACTTACTTAGCATACTCTGCATTGTCCTTGAGCTCGTTGACCTTTTTCAAATCATTTCTTGTTTCCTGAATAATATGTTCTGTATTTTTGAGTCGTTGCAAAGCTTCTGTGATATCATCAGCCAATTGTCTAACTTCGTCTTCTGTTTTATGCACACTTTTCTTCAAAACTTCTTCAGCGAGTTTTTTTATTTCCTCTGGCTTGGTATTATTTTGCCCCATAAACTCGCGCATTTCTTTCATAACCAAAGCAGCTTTCTCAAGAGAGCTGTTGGAGGCCAGAAGCATTTGGTTAATATAATCATATGTTTCTTTAGCTAAAGTAAGAGTTTCGTTTGTATTTATTTGAGAAACGTTACGTATTAAATCATTAGCTGCTGTTTCTTTTTCTTTAATTGCTGTTTCTGTTTTCTTGGCCAAATTTGTAGCTGCTTCAGCTAACTGCTTTGCACCATCTTCACAAGAAATTGAATTTCCGCAGCTGTTACAGCCAGCACCTCCACAGATGGAATCGCACGGATTACCCGCACCATCACAAACTAGATCGTTTAGGGTAGGAATTTGTGCATTTAATTCATCTAATTTTTGGCGTATATTCTGTAATTGGTTATCATTATCTTCAGATTGTCTTATGTAAGCTTCTTTAGTTTGATTAATAAACGTTTCAGTAGCCCTGCATTGATTTTCAGCATAATTTATATCTTGCTTGGAATGTTCTGCTCTATGAGCTGCTCTGTCTGCCTTATCTTTAGCTTCATTAATCAGGGTTAAGGCTCCTAAAACATTAGCTTCTTGCAACTTAGTTCCGTTATTTTCCAACTCTTTAGTGCGCCTTTTTAGTTCTTCAATACTCTCATTAAAACCCCTAACCTTCCTATCAGTAAGCAATATATTCTGCTTAATGTTCGCCAGGTTGTTATCTAAAGTTTTCAACTTTTCATTTTCTTTTTCATTAATTTGACTTCGGAGTACTTGAAACTCTTCTTCAATAGCATCTACATCTATTTCATTGGTATTATTCAAAAGCTCTTTAATTTCATCCAAACGGCCTTTCATTTCATCAAATTCTTTGGTGTAAGCTCCTGTAGCACCAACTTTCTTGATGTCGCCAGCTCTATTGATAATATCGAGAGTTTCATCTGAAAAATAAACAAAAGCACTATTATTTAATTCCTACAAAGTTGAAAAACTACTTACTTTTGCTTTTCTGTAATATCCTGTCCCAGTTATCGAAACATTCACCGCAGGTAAGACATTCTGGAACGCTACCAATAAATCCTCTTTCACAGCTGTCACATTTATGACCTCCAACGCCAGGTTTGCAAATGCAGGCACCAGTACGCATGTCACATTGTTCATTTTTAGAGCCGAAGGAATCACATTCACAGGCTTGTAGTAAATAAACAGGTATTATTGTAGAGTTTAACAATAAATACAATTAGTTGACTTACGTATACATTCACTTTTTGGGTCACCATAGAATCCGGGCATGCATTCATTACATTGTCTGCCTCCAAATCCAGGCCTACATTCACATTGTCCATCAAACTGTGAAAAAATAAACACTTATTATATTCGTTTGATGCCTTTCAAGTATAAAATGTAAGGTTTCAAGAGAAAGAAAGATAATTTGTATAAAAACATTAACATGATATTCTTGTGGGAAAAATAACCCCCCTCAAATAGCCCCAATCAAAATAACAAGTTTTTAATAGGAGTATATTCTAAAAACACCCATTGCAAACTTGTCTTTATACTGAGGGCATGCCAGGCGACATAATGAAGTTCATATTTACATTCATTTCAAATAATCCCAATTTATCCTCAATTAATGAAATGCCAAATATTTATAAAATTGGAGAGCTGGTCAACCTATCGATTGATTCAATTAATCCAATTCTTCCTGACTATAGGCTTGAAGTAGAATTGCTTCTTGGTTTTGAGTTAGAATAATGGATACATTTCACTAGATATTTTGATTTTTCGCCTTTTTTGATAAAATAATAATAAAAGAGTATTCATGGATTATGCGTCAAATCTACTTTCTGCTGAGCAGGCATGCTACATTTACTCCACTGTCGGGACATAAATATAGAGAGTCTGGAAAAATAAGACTAAAATTATGCTCTACATAGAGACTGTCATTCGCAAAGAGTGTACCTATATTTGGATAGAGTTTCATGATTTGGGGGAATTAAAGGCCAAAGGCAATCTATAATTCTTCCAACATACTTTCGCATAATCCTGCAAAACCAAACAAGTTTTCTTTGCTATGAAAGAAGTAACCATATAGAATGAAACAGTTCTCCCTGAAAAGTTGATCTCAGGGGGAACTCTAAATCCCAGACTGCAAAAGACAAATCATATTGAAACTATTGCTAAAAAACTTGAATCCTATGTCCTAATATTTCGAGAGATGTCCCTGTTAATGCACATTGTACATGATAATATTTTGCAATATTTACGCACATCGCACATATAGTATATATATACGAAGACATCATAGCAAATGTGGAAGCCAGCATACGCAATGAAACCTCTAGGATTCTACGACTTGCGAAACCTCCAAAGTGCAACCTGACATACGAGGAAAGGAAAGCTATTCGCAGCCTGAATACAGACGAGAACATACTAGTCCTGCCTGCGGATAAAGGAAACGCAACGGTAATCATGAACGTGACTGACTATGAATCGAAAATCTCCGAACTTCTAGACCCCTCCTCCTACAGAAAGCTGAAACGTAATCCCACTGCTTCTATATTGCGAAAACCAATCAACTCATCCGAGCACTACCGTTGGAGCCGGAAAACATAAGGAAACTCATCAAATCTGAGGCCTTACCACCTAGAATATATGGGCTTCCTAAGATTCACAAAACAGGCAACCCACTCAGGCCCATTGTAAGTGCAATAGATTCGCCCACATACAGCATAGCCAAATACCTCACCACCCTCCTTCAACCACGGATTGGCCAATCCAGCTCTTATGTCAAGGACTCAACTCATTTCATCAAAAAGATCAGTGATATCACTCTATTACCAAACGACATTCTGGTTAGTTTTGATGTCGTCTCATTGTTTACTAAGGTACCAGTAAATCAGGCCTTAGAGTATCTGAAAGATGTTTTTCCGGAAGAAATCAACAACTTATTTCACCACTGTCTGACGACTACGTACTTTCAATGGCAAAATGAATTCTTTGAGCAGACAGATGGAGTCGCAATGGGAAGTCCACTCAGCCCGGTTATCGCCAACTTTTACATGGAACACTTCGAACAAATGGCACTACGAACGGCTACAAAGAAACCTAATTGTTGGTTTCGCTATGTAGATGACACATTTGTTGTTTGGAACCATGGAGAGGCAGAGCTCGAAAACTCCCTTAATCATCTAAACTCGATAGAACCCAGGATACAGTTTACGATGGAAGTTGAGAAGGATAACAAAATTGCATTCCTCGACGTCCTCTTAGAAAGATTACCCTCAGGTAAACTGGGACACAGAGTGTACAGGAAGCCGACACATACGGACAGATACCTCAACAAGGAATCTAATCATCATCCTAGGCAAAAGAGAGGAGTCATTAAAACTCTATCTGACAGAGCAATCCGGATTTGTGAACCCAGATACCTTCAGGACGAGATGCAACACCTAAAATCGGCACTTGAAGGAAATGGGTACTCCAAGCAGGAGATAAATAGAGCCATAAGACCGAAGCAGCAGCGCACAACTAACAAGGAACCAGCACAGGTGGCAGGGAGAGCCTTTCTTCCCTATATCAAAAATGTCACAGATCGCATAGGACGAACGCTAGAAAGACACAACGTTAAGCCTATCTACAAGCCCACAAGAACAATTCAGCAAAGTCTAAGATCGGCCAAGGATCCTAGGGCACCTCTTGAATCGGCTGGCGTCTATAAAATTCCCTGCTCTTGTGGATCTGTCTATGTAGGAACAACCAAACGCTCTATCAACACCAGGGTCAAAGAGCACAAAAGAAACTGTCAGCAAGGACAAATAGATAGATCAGCAATCGCCGAACACGTGCTTACACAAACAAACCATGTCATTCGTTTCGACCAGACTCAAACATTGGATAGAACCAAACATTTCTACACCAGGCTCCACAGAGATGCCATAGAGATACAGAAACAGCACAACAACTTCAACAGAAAAGAAGAGGGCATGAACCTCAATAAAAGCTGGTTGCCAGTTCCCCGAAAAACAAAGACCCTTCCTTTCCGAGAACGAGACAAGGAAAATACCGTAATCCAAGCCACGCCCACAACCCTGGATATAAATAACGCAGTTCCCTCAGCGGCTCAACGTCGAATTCAGTCATCGGAGAAACACGGAAGAGAACACTTCGTCCTCTACCACACCGCCTCTGAAGATGTCTACCGCAGCAGTAGACGAAACGTTAGGTAGAAATACTAATGGACCACGGCATTATAGCCCGGACAAAAACTTTTTTGCTAGATTTGACCGGCCGTGAAAGCCTTCATTCTTTAAACATAAAAAATTGTATTAAATTGTGTTTAAGCATAATTTAAAAAAAAAATGTTATAAAATCTTGAATCTCTAACTAATTAATTTAACTACATTTCATGATATTTTGCCAACATTTCAGAATTAAATCTATTACAAATTTTGAATGTTGACAATTAGTGGCAACACGGGCCCATTACCATAGTGAATTAATGGTCGATGGTACAAATTATTTAGTGCTATTTTAATAAGGCCCTATCTTATGGAGGCACTATTTTGCTAGGGCTTATAGTTTATGTAATACATACCAAATTACATTGGGTGTTTTTTGATCCGAACTCATCACAACTGCACGCTTCACATCCTTTTCCACTAGCAATTTTCCAGTGATCTTGCTCACATTCATCACAATGCATTCCTGTGACATGTGGGAAACATCGACAGTGGCCGCCATTTGGGTTACAAGGTCCTGATGTGAAGTTAGTTCCGAGTATATCACATATGCATTCTAAAAAATCAAACGTTATAAAATAATATATATTTGGATAAATATATACTAAAAACCTTGACAAGGCATGTTGTCAGCAAATCGGAAGTATCCATCCCTACAAATTTCACAATGATCTCCTGTTGTGTCAAACAGACACTTGAGGCATTTGCCAGTATGAGGATCGCAATTTCCAGGTTGTGATAAGTCTATCTTATCATTACATTCACAAGGTTGACAGGATCCTCCAGGAATTTCCGGATTTCCATAATAATTATCAAAGCAGATATCGCATTTAGCTCCTGAAACAAAACATGACACTAATTAAAAAGGTACGTAAATTATTTCATGAATAGTACCTGCGTAACCTTCTTGGCATTCACATATAACATCTTTAGTTTGTGGATCCAAAGCGCATCTATCAGCATATGAATGATTAGATCCCATTGGACCAGGGCAGGGGCAAGATCTACATGGAATATCAACACCCAATCTTGGGTCACCATAAAATCCTTCGACGCAAGTATCACAATGGTCATTGGTAGTATTGTCCCTGCAGTTGAGACACAAGCCAGTACGTGTTTCACATAAATCTGCATGGCCATTGCAGTCACATCTTTCGCAGTTGGGAAAGCTGAAATATATAATTTAAATCTCGTTTATGTTTGTATGAAATGGATGTCTGCTTTAGGCTGTCGATAAATCTATAAGTTATATTTGGATGAAAAATGGATAAAATACCGGAAACACCTGTCTTTTTAAATTGCATGGTTTGAATCGTTTTTGAGGATCTAGTGACTCAGTGGTCTCTATGCCAAATTCATTTGTTTAGAACATGTAATTTTTTTTTTTTTTGATATCTTTACAATATGAAAGTATACTTACTTCCAGAATCCAACTCTGCATTGATCACACTCTCTACCATAGGTATTAGCCCTGCATTTACATTGACCAGTAGTAACATTACAGAAATTGTCAAGAGCGCCTATACTATTACAGTCACAAGTTCTGCATCCTTCTGGGCCAAAATCATAGGTTTCTTGGGCACACTGATCACATTTCCTACCAACCACATTAGGTTTGCAAGCACAGTAACCCCCACGGTCATCACAAATTTTACTTATAGCTCCGGTTGGGTCACAATCGCAATAGCTTGCACCATCAAAAACAATAGCACCTATGCTTGTGTGATATTTCTTACAAACTTCTGGTACAATAGCTCCTTTTCTAAATAATGCGGGATTTCCACAGTTATAGCGTTTAAATTCGTCTAATTTTTGTTGGCCGGCACCAGTTTGGAAGAATGGGATACTTTCAATTCTAGGCTGAAGCCAAATGGCATCTATCAATACAGATGCTGTAGGGCGATGTGTGGGATAGTTATAACTTGTGCTGAAATCTATACGAATAGTATAGCCCTTATTCGCCTCTAAACAAACTGGAGGACGCACTGTTTGTTGTCTTTGATTGGCTGGAAGAGTAGTATGTTTAATATCATCTGCAGGATTTATATCAGCACAAGGACCATTGGGATCTACGTTGTCAGGTCTAACTATTGTCACCAAAACATCATCCAAACTTTCTGGAGATGAAGGCTCATACTTCACTATTATATCGTAGTCCATCGAAGTCTTAATTTCATTGACGTAAACTTCCATATAATCTCCACTATAAACTTTAACAAGTCCTATGCCTGTCCATAAATTATCTCTACCATCTCTATAAGGTGCTCTTATCACAACTTGTCCACTAGTGTTGCTAGCTTCAGCTTCATATAAAAGAAAATCAAGACTGGCAGTAAAATATTGTTGTTTGGGTGTATCACAAGTTCTGCCAGTCATATGATCTCTGCATCTACACTGACCAGTAATAACATCACAGAAATTATCATAGGCACCACCTGGATCACAATCACATGATTGGCATCCATCTTGTTTTTCGGATAAGCCCCAATATTGTGGTAAACATTGGAAACAATCTCTTCCAGTAACGTATCTTTTACAAGTACATTCGCCAGTATATACATTGCATCCTTGATTGTCGATGGTTCCCAAGGTGTTGCAGGTACATGCTTGACAACCATCCAGGTTTTGCTCTGTGAAGTTCCAAAAACCGTTTTTACATTGATCGCATCTGCGCCCATCAACGTTTGTTTTACAGTGACAGCTTCCTGCTACTAGGTTGTTAACTGGATCAGTGATGGAATCACAGATACCTTCATCAAGGGAACCGTGGGGATCACAATCACATGCTGAAAAATAAAAACAATAAAAACTTATCATCTAATCCGCATCGTTTAGGTTTGCTCCAACTTATCGGAAGAGAATTAAGAAGCTGAAAAGCGACGAGAGCTGGTTCTGGGAATAGCCAGACACACCAAAGCATATGATTTTCGAGTGCCAGAAGTTTGAGTCGATCCGACTGCAAGCAAAGATGCAGTGCCAGAGTGAAATAAATACGCTTAACATGGGAGACATCATTTGTCGAGAAGGAATCATGCTGGGAAGCCATTATAAACATGCTGAGGAAAATAATGATAGTCAAATCAGATAATGAGAAGCAAAGGCGTAGAAGGAACAAGTCAAAAGCGAGATGCCCTGAAGTTATGCCCCATTGCAGTCCCATGAAAGGGAAAGGGCTTGAGTTTTAAGCGTTGGTCGGTCAGTGAACGGAGAATACTATCCGGACACCCCCCCCCCCCCTATCATAAATCAAAAGCCAGCTCGGCGGCACACCGTCGAGAGAACACCAGATTGAATAGTCTGGTTCGCCGATATTCATTGCTACTTTTTTTTTCTTGTTTTAATAATACCTAGCTAATGGTAGTAAATTATTATCAAAAAACAGTTAACCCGAGGGGTGAATAGCTCTTGCAGTCGGTGAACATATTTCTCACAATCTTCACACAATCATTCACAATCAGATCACAATCGTTCACAATCTGTCACAATCGTTACACAATCTCACACAATCTGTCACAATCGTTACACAATCACACACAATCTCTCACATTCGGGTCACAATCTCTCACAATCGTTGCACAATATCTCACAATCGTTACACAATCTCCCACAATCGCTACACAATCTACCACTATCTGTCACACGTGAGGTCCCTCCAAATAGTTTAATTTACTTCATTTTCGCCCATAGCAATAAGCCAATGAGACTGTTTGATGAGCTTACTTTTGTATGCCACTTGCAGCACACATTTCTGAACTCTAATTGCACTGAATAGGGCAATACTAAGGGGAATACCCATAAACCCAACCTCAAAAATGTTTGGTTGCCATTGAGGTAGGTGGTTGCTGGGCGAGAAAGTTAAAAACGAAGTTAAAAATATTTAAATCAAAACGAATTCACCTCAGATGGCTTAAGAATCCAGACCTAGACGGTGAAGAAAAAGTATATGAATCTGGATAACCATAAGAGATGCAGGGTCGGTTAAATTGGGGCAGGTCACGCAATTTCTTGCTACTGAAATGCCATTTCGAAATCTGGAAAATCCGGATAGGTACTAAAAAAACGAAACTTTGCAACAAAATCGTTTTTATTCTTTCGTGAGTTTATTCTTGAAGAGATACTTCCAAATAAATTGCACTTCATGGTTGCCACTTTTTCTTTTCTGCAATATGGCATTATGCAATTTGAAATCCGACGGGCCAACATCATCCACTTTATTTTTTTGAATACGGCTCTTGATTTCTTGTGTAAGTAGTTCTTTGTTAGCTGACTTACTCAATATAATGAACATTTCAGTCAAAAAAGTACGATAATTTGTATGGAGATACTTAATATCTTCGTCAAACAAAAACAATTTATACCCAATTTTTAGCTTTGTTCCAACACAGCAGAAAATCTTACAATGTACCGTCACGATTCTGCGCAAAACCTAAAATTTTTGCGCAGAAACCAAAATTCGTATACTGAGTGGGATCAAATCCGTTCATGGGGCAGTTTTTTGACGTGTTGGAACAGACCTATTATATTTGCTATAAAATAATGAGTTTGGCAAAGATAAATTTATGAAGAAAACAAGGTCTTTGACAAAGATAAGTATCTCTACACAAATTATATATTTTTTTAATTGAAATGTTAATTTTATCGATTGTTTTGATACACCATTCCATTAAGGAAGTCAAAAACTAACAAAGAACTAAAAATAAAAAATCAAGAGCCGTATTTAATAAAATAAAGTAGATCATATTGGTCCAAAGACAAAACGTCGGATTCCAAATTTGATAACGCCATATTGTAGGGGAGAAAAATTAGCAACGATAAAGTGTCATTTATTTTGAAGTATCCTTTCAGATAAGCACAGGAAAAAAAAATTGCAAAATTTCGTTTTTTTCCGAATATCTCTGGAAGTATTGGGAATTTTCCAGATTTCAAAAGGGCATTTTGTAAGCAAGAAGTTGCGTAACTTTGCCCCAAATTGACCGACTCATTTTAAAAATTATCAATCATCCATTTACACTATCAAGGTTTGAGTCACAAAAAAATAACAACATTTTTAAGCAAATAAATGCCTACTTAATTTGAAAAAAGTTTCTACCTCACAACAAATTCTCTATTATTTGTCATCATCTTTCTGTGTTATTAAAGCTTTTATCTGTCACGTCTGTCTGTGATGATTCTTTTTTAAATTCAAACACTCGGTATATAATACCGGGTGTCCCCATTTAACTAGTCAAAAATGCTAGGGTTTATAGGAGAACCATAAAGAAGTAGTTTGAGATAGGACATCGATGGTCGGAAGTGTGTCGTTTCCAAAATACAGGGTGTTGAAATTTAAACAACCCCCTTTCATATCATCTGGAGGGCTAATGCTAGGCTGTTCAAATTTTCAGGGATTATTGATATAGGAATGATACTTAAAAATTCGTATACTGCACCCCTATTTTCTTCCTGAAACCATCCCAACTACTTTTCTATGGTTCCTCTATACAGGGTGTCCCACGGTGGATGGCGAATTAGACGTTAATAGAGAACTAAAAAGCGGATCATTTTGAAAATTTGGCAACCGGGATAAACGACCATAATCTACACTTTAAAAATATTTTTGTTTATGCGGTGTTGCCGCTTCTACTCTAAACCGTGGCAACATCGCTATTTTAAATGAAACACCCTGTATGTGATTGCATAATTGGATTCTACGTAAAATTCTGAGAAGATTTTATGTGATGTACCCTATACCTAAGTTCAACTGTTTTGGAAATATTGACAGTTGAAAATTGACTTTTTGCAACTTTGACAGGCTGTAAAACCTAAACGGTAAATTTCAGAGGAAAACCAGGGGAATGTAAACCTATCTTAGATTTTCGTAAACTATCATTTGACACCAACTTTGAATTTAACCGGAGATTAAATTTAATTGGAATTTTTAATCATGGATTAAATTCAAAATTGGTGTCAAATGATAGTTTATAAAAATCTAAGATAGGAATGTAAAATCGGTTTTTCTCTAAAATCAACCGTTCAGGTTTTACAGCCTGTCAAAGTTGCAAAAAGTCAATTTTCAACTGTCAATATTTCCAAAACAGTTGAACTTAGGTATACGGTATATCACATGAAATCTGCTCAGAATTTTATGTAGAATCCAAATATGCAATTAAATACGGGGTGTTTCATTTAAAATAGCGATGTTGCCACTGGTTTAGAGTAGAAGCGTACACCGCATAAACAAAAATATTTTTAAAGTGTAGATCACGGTCATTTATCCCGGTTGCCAAATTTTCAAAATGATCCGCTTTTTAGTTCTCCATAAAAGTCTAATACACCGTGGGACACCCTGTATACTCTAGCATTTTTGACTCGATTTCTGACCAGTTGAACGTTGACACCCTGTAATTAAAAAATTCAGATTTTATAGGTGGCGCAGAGGAAACGCATGTTTCAAGTGTGATGAACAACTTGCAAGAGGGGTTGGAGACTTAGACCATATATCACATGCGTTTCCTCTGCGCCACCCTGTACATACAACTGCTCAATCAGAGTACTGTGTATAAGAAAGATAAAAAAACTCAATATTCTTTTCAATTATTACTTAATTTAGTTTTGATATTTTGTTATTTTATTCTAACCCAATTAATATACCAGAGCTGTTTTCTCGCGTTCACTTTTTGAAACTGTATCAAAACAGGTTTGAAACAGTATATTTTTGCGATGAATGACGTCATATCAAAATTAGTCAAACCGTTTCTCGAAAAACAATCCAATCCACGTTTTAAAACCATTTTCTCGCGCCGACAAGTTATGACGCCATGTGACATTGTTTTAAACCAGTTTTAAAAACGTTTTAAAACATTTGAAACATGAGAAAACACCTATTGTCTTAACACAATCATTCACAATGCTTACACAATCACTCACAATCGTGACCCAATCAGTTACAATCATGACAATCAGTCACAATCGCTCACAATCAGTCACAGTCCTTATACAATCATTCACAATCGTACACAATCACTCACAATCGTACACAATCGCTCACAATCGCTCGCAAATTTCATTAGAGATTGTGGAATTTGGCAGTCGGTGTACACATTTTAGGTCAGCTATTCACCCCTCGAGTTAACCCTTCGTCAGTGTGTTAGGAAAAAGTCACATTATTATTGTGGTGGGGTATGTCATACCCCAAACTTTTTTTCGGTATTCAAATTAAGGTGGCAAAAAATAAATATTTTATTAGTTTCTTAACCTTATACAGGGCTTTCATTTCAAAACTTGCCACCCACGTTATCTGCGTAAAAAGGTATATTTGCGGAAATTGCCGAAACACGTCAACAAATTTATTGAGGGGGAAGGCTTTTTACGTAAAACTGGACTTCGCCCCTTCGACCCCCTAAGCCCTAGGGCTACCTCTCCAAAATTTTCAAATGAGACAGGGGGTCGAGTGATAGATTATTTTAAAGGGCTGTTTAATCTGTACATTTTGCCGTTCTATTTTTTGAATTTGACCTCAATGTTACAAAATAACACCCATTTCAATGTTTAAAAATGCCTATTTATTTTTAAACACACCTGCTTTTTTACCTACCTTTTTATTACAGTAACAGGTAAACAAGCAGGTGTGTTAGGGATAAATAGGCATTTTTAAACATTGAAATGGGTGTTATTCTGCAACAGTGAGGTCAAATTTAAAAAATAGGACGGCAAAATGTACAGATTAAACAGCCCTTTAAAATAATCCATCACTCGACCCCTTGTCTCATTTGAAAATTTTGGGGAGGTAGCCCTAGGGCTTAGGGGGTCGAAGGGGCGAAGTCCAGTTTTCCGTAAAAAGCCTTCCCCCTCAATAAATTTGTTGACGTGTTTCGGCGATTTCCGCAAATATGCTTCTTTACGCAGATAACGTGGGTGGCTAGTTTTGAAATGAAAGCCCTGTATATTGAACTTATTTCAATAAAAACATGATACGGGCTTCTAGATTTTCTATTTATTGCTTCAAAATATATAATCATTGTAAATCTGTATTTTTATCAGATAAAACATACTGCGAAGTAATTATTGGTTTTGAAATTATTTAATGAGTTTTGGACAAAAAAAAGCTCCACATTTCAAATCAAAAAACATAAGTCATTATCGTGTTGAAAAAATTATCCTAAAAGTGTGAATACATAAAATTTTAGGCGGCATCAAAGTCGATGCACTTTTGACAAAATAAATTTACATGTTCCATCCATAATGGATGTCCCACATTTCTGACAGCAGTAAAATATCTTCAGGTTTTTTGCTCGAGGACAAATCATACATCTTTTCGACGCTCTTCTTCGTTTGTTCTGGTTTTCCATGAGACCTGGCTGATTTTTTTTTTTGACTCCATGGTCTCAAAACTCTGGACAGGCAAGGATTTTTCTCTATCTGCCTTTTCCCATAGTTTTCGCAAATGAGCTTGCTCTGCGTCATATAACATGATATCCGATTATTACTACATAGAAAAGTGTATCATGAGTGAAAAATTGATAGAAATAACATATCTTGCTAGCCTACTTCTCCAGAAATCACTTGCAGAAAATAGCTACACGATCAGTGTGGTGGGATATGACATGCCCCAACCGCCTTTGATGTCGCCTAATTCACGACTGATACAATATTTGGCGGTGGGCCTCATTTTATTATGTAGATTGACACAATATCTCAAGCTACTGGACGCTAGCTGGCGTCACGTACTCGAATTTGGAAAATGAAAGGATAGAGAGATCGTCTGGGGTATGCCATACCCCACCACACTGACGAAGAATTAATATACTATTGAGGAAAACTGGAATGGATTTTTAAACATGCATTTTCCCAAAGACAAAAATGTCTTTAATTTCTCTGGGCACAGAAACAACAGTTTTGGATATTATTCTAGTTTGTACTAGTTGTATTAAAATATTAAAAATCGCAACAGAATCCAGTTCTTTCATTGCATAACCAATTGGTACCTACAATAAATTTAGGTAAAAAAATGTGAATTTCGAAATAAAATTATTAGGGTTTTTTGTTCATTCATTTTTGGCGCTCGTAAATTAGCAATTGTTTCTAACGCTTGCGGAAAAACGACTAATACAGAATTCGTCCATTCCTACTTAGTTTTTGATTCTGATTATGGAACAGCTTCATTCCATCACTTATGAAAAAATATTTGTTCCATCACAGAAGGGAAGGCATCTTCGTATTTCTGCACCAGCTGCACTACGCAAACTAAAGGAATACTAAAAAACCTCAAAGATACTATAAAATGCAAGTAAATGATTAATATTGACGGTTTGTATTAATTGCTAGAGCAAGTACAGCACAATTGTAATTTGCAGCCTTTTTGAAAAAAAAAGGATCGAAAATAGAAGACGTTATTTTACAATATGGACGTTTTACATATTGTTAAAAATGTCAAATGACATGTGTTCAATGTTCATGTCACATGTCACATCTGGTTGTTACCGTTGCTTCAGTTGATAGTCATACAAAAATAAAAAGTATTTTCTGAGACACGTGTGGAATTCAAAATTCTACACTCGTAAAGCCGTTTCCGGAATATTGCCTATTTCACACTTGTTATAGAATAAACCATTAATTCTCATCACTCAGCTGTTTGAACGAACTCTGTTTGGTGTCATTCGGTCAACGATAATCGATTTTCGGCACTTGTTAGTAACATAGCTATTTCAATAATGATGTACTACTGAAAGAGAAAAAGGTAGATGACCCCTAGTACCTAACTTTAGCAATTTTTTTTCACAACCATGGGCAACCAATGTACCTATTATAATATCCACAATTAACTAAACCTCTCACGTCGTACCCGAATACCTAATAGATAAGCATGAAAGTCTAGCCATTAGCCACAGAAATAAGGAGAGCCGGAATGAGTTTTAGTGCGCATGTGTTTGAAACTTAACAGTTATCTTGTTCTTCAGCCCTTAATCCCAAAAACTTGAATTTATTTAACATTGGTGATTATTGTTTTTGAGAATCTAATGATTTCGCTTTCTCTTCAATTATTGAACTTTCACATCCCAAAAAATGAATATGTTTGCACATATAACCCTTAGTAGCAGAATCTGGGTGGGAACAAACATAAGAATGAATGCAGGCTTCACAAATCTCACTTTTAATTGCACAGTTACAATTTAAATTTGACGCTGATAATAGTAATTTCTTGAAATTTTACTGATGATATGAGCCAGTTTCCTTTGTCATGGCTCTTGGGGTACTATATCAGGAATTTGTTCAAATTTCGGCATTTCCAAATCCTCCTTGCCTTTACGCAATTTGTGATAAATATTTACATCGGAAAATTACATTGGGGGTGCTCTCATTCATAATCCATTTTCCAAACCGGCAAAAGGGAATTTTGAAGGAAAAATGTTCAGTAGTAGACTATGAACAGTTTATTTTTCACAAATGAAAAAAAAGTTGGAGCAGTTTTTGGTAAAATCGGCAGTGATAAGTAAAAAAGGCGTTCCAAGCTCAATACTTACGTCGACATACTTCTGGATCTTGAATATCCCTTTCAGGGTCCTTATAGAAGAATGGTTTGCATTGCTCACAGTTTGAGCCCATGGTATTATGTTGGCAGCCATCGCAAACACCTCCACTTACTCGACCTTTAGTTTCAAAGAGGGCAGCATCAAAATGACAGCTGGTAGCATGATTATTACAGTTGCATCTTTTACACGCGTTAGATTGCTTTCCAATGGCAGGCCTCCAAGGTAAATCATTGAAGAAATCCTCACATTTTTCACAATTTCTACCTTTGGTGTTGTGTGTACATTCACAGTGTCCATGAACCATGTCTGGTTTTGGATCGATACCCCGAAGTGGAAGACATCTGTTAGCGTGTCCGTAGCAAGAACATGATCCTCTTACAACCATATCTGTGATAGCGTAGTAGTATTTTTCCTACATATAAAAAAAATGCTTTGCTAGAAGACTAACCCAATTTCAAAAAGCTTTTAGAGTTAGATATTTCCTATATGAGGATTGTTAATGAATATATTCACCTGAATTTCTTCCCTTTGGTCCAATAAATCATCCCCAAGGGTATGCAGCTTAGTGAAGTTGATTCTCAAGTTAGTCATTTTTAGTAGATTCTGAACATTTTCTGAATAAGGGTTATCAACTGGCATAGTTGGTGGTAGCACTCGATAAATAACTTCCCCATCAGTGGCTGGAGCAAGTCCAGAGTACCTGGACTCACATACAACATCGGTTAAGTTTCCGGGGTGGCCTTGCTTGATGTTAGGGAAGCTTTCAGTGCAGTTGATGGCGAAGTACCTGTAGACCTGAAAATTAAGAAGTTTTGATCAACGAGAATTTCGAATCAAAACTGATTACTATTGGGAAACTCATCAGATTTCTGATTTTTGTTTATTCATTTGATGGTAAGCTAGGTACAAGAAATATGAACATGGTTTTGTTAGCTTAATTCAATAAAAAAAATACAATAATAAAACTACTAATAAAATAGGCTATAAAGTAGGAAGAAAGAACACAATAAAATCCAACACCTGACCTATGTACATAGAGGGGTGGTAACACGGGTATATAAAATAAATCATAACCAGCTAGGAGCACTACATGATCAGCATTGATCATTTCAGAAGACATCAAACATAACCACTACAATTGAAAACCTCAGAGAATGAATAAAAGGTATGCTGAAGTAGGTAACAATTTTTTGGATTTATGTTTAAATTACCCACTACAGTACACGTTTTTTGAATTATCAGCGTGTGTTAATCCATGCTGAGGAATACGAACATTTTCAGCTCCCTAAATAATTTTCTAAATGAAAAGATCATTTCATTATGAGTTATTTTTCCGATAATCTTTATCTGAGCCAAGAGATTTTCATTAGTTTTTTTACTCTACTCAAACGCTTTTACTCGGTCTATAAATGCCATATGCAGAGGTTGCCTTACTTTTTCGATTTTTTTTTTTTGAATTTGTCCAGTTAGGTTTAAAGCGACACTGTTTTTCGAGTATAATTATTGCTTCACCCAGAGAAAGAAGTCATGGAGAGAATCCTAGCCTGGCAAGAATTTTTATGGCTGTTGTAGAGTGCAGAGACATTCATTCGTAATTTCAACACCTTCTAATTTTGTGTGATTCATTTTTAATTTTAGGTATAGGTATACAGTCCGGACAAAGCTGCTAATTCGGCTATTTACCTTAATTTTCGTTTACAAGAACGCACATTGCAATATTGGTTGCACCCATACTTGCACAAAGATTCACATTCTCGAGTGTAGAATGAAACGGGTTGTGAGCCAGCAAGCGTTGCCCCAGAAAGTATGTTGACTGATAAAACAGTGACTATTGTCGAGTCTGAAGCCTAGTGAGATAATGTGATGAAGCTCTCTTTCAAAAACCATACCTATTTATGGCGTTTGTGTTTTCGCGATAGCCTATAAAAAATTAGTCTACTACTTCAACCATATGTGTATGCTTTTCACTATTGCCCAGCAGCCCCTCTTTCCTTGAAAAGCTCAGCAGAAACTCTAACGTGTACTATTCTTCAGTCGGTTGATAGCTTTTTCAATCCCTTGATGGGAAGGCACATAACTTAAGTTTTAAGTGGGTTATTGTGGGACTTTGTTGAAGACGCCATCATCCACGTGGCAATATCTGTTCAGGAGATCCTGAAAATGCTTCTCCCATCAGGAGCTAATAGAAGCTGGATCTTTGAGCAGCTGATTTAAATCTTCAGATCATAGGGGATTTAGACATTTTCTAGAGAAACCATCGGTTGCTTTTGTGGCGCTGGAAGAAGGCTTCAATATTGTTAGAGGCTGCCTAATATTCTAATTCGCTTGACCTCGTTGTCCACCACTGGTTTTTCCGGATTCTTGTTCTTCAATGTTCTTCAGCCTTGATTGTTTTTTTTTCAGATACTTTAGGCTTTCCTCTTCTGATCTATGACGTTCCGATTTTTTGATTTTTCCAGTCAAACGAATCCGAATGGATCCTGTTCTGTAACAAAGCCTGTTGATTGTTGGCAGACTATCAGCATAGTTGTTTCAAGCCTTGCCCAATGCTCTACAACGTCATAGGGATATTCAGCAGACAATTTCTCACTCAATAGAAGTTTGAAATTTGTTTTGTGTCCTTATCTTCGAGTCGCGCAATAATCAACCTGCTTTGTGGTTTTTTCCTTTGTTTTCACCGTTTTAGTAACTCTTACAGATCGAACCAGTCAGGTCATTTCAGGAGTCCTCAGCATGGACTGTGGCTCTGGCCTCTGCTGGTTACCTACTAGAGCAAACATAAATTTAACTAAGTGCATCACTCGAAAGATAATTTAGTAGACCCATCAATTTTTTGGGATTGGCGTATTCGGTCATTAGGATTACTGAAAATATTACATACATATCTGATATAAGTGGCTAGTACTATACTCATCAATTGAAAACAAAAAAGTTCATTAGGTGTCGGTACTTTTGTTCTCAGTTTTCAAATTTGACAGCCGTTGAAAATAATCAGGGGTTTGAATATGCTCTGGCCACATCATACTTACAGACCTTGGCCCATGCAAAACCTTGTTAAATTTAACGACGTGTGAAATTCGTTAACTGAGATCAAAAGTATTGGCCCTAGATCCACTATTTTGGCGACACATATTTTCTTCATGCATCCCTACTATGTTGATGTTGGATTGCGACTTTCATGGAGTTGTATGAGCCCGGTCTTCGCAGATAAATTCCAACTGCTGATTTGACTCCCAATTTAAAAAAATATATATCGGGTTGACTGTCAAGACTCGTTACGTGTTCTGTGCAAACATGCAATTTCAGGGACGTATGTATGCCGCTATTGTTACTGTTTCCTCCAACGAGAAGCCTTCGATTTTGTTTTAGTTTCGGTTTTAGCCACCCTGCAGAACTATTATGTCTGGCTAAGTTTTGAAATGGCTGCATTCCATTAACTGTTTGGGCTTCTAATATCGACTCTACTTGGGATGAAGTGAAAACTTGATCATTGACATCAAGATTTTACCTATTTCTTTCCATCTTTTTTAAGGTTTACATATTATGTGCTGACTGCTGAAGGTCGAATACCTGTAGTTGCACTTAGGTTGATTAGCGATTTCGAATGGTTGCTGCGGTTTGATCGGTTGGCACGGCAGGGAAAGTAAGAGCTGTAGGAGTTTTCGCATTGACGACACCGATTTAATGTTATTGCAGTTACTGTAGTTGCGATCGCGACAACGGAACATTTGGCATGACACACCTGTAAGTGAGTATTTTGTCCAATAGCCTAATTTTTTGTTATATAAATCCTTTCGACCTTAATTCTCCATTAATAACATCGATGCACCCTAGCAGCTGTCCAATAATTTTATTATTTGCTGATAGGTTTCTATTGAAACATATATTATGTCGGCGTTATGAGTAACCACTCTTTCACAGCTTCCACAATACTTGACCCAATTTTCTTTTCCAAAAGCTGTTAGGCATTGGACATGAATTATGAAACACTAATTGGCATTTTCCCCACTCAACTGCAGCACTATCAACACTAGCAATATTCACACGAAACCTTCTCATCAGTCCGCGCCGATCATCAACAGCCATCTTGGAATCACTGAAATCTGAATAAACCAATATCGGAATCAATAAATTACCTGCCACGTCTGTTTAAAGTCATAGGATCTTTCAATCAGCATAGCTGCAGGCCTGAATGTTTTAAAAGTAATTATCAAGTGAGTAAAGTGAAATTCTGCCTCCAAATCCAGCTGGATATAAACTTTTTCTTTTCCATTTTCTGATTGCCACCAAGATTTTTGCCTAGTTCTGGAAAGTGTTTTCTGTTAGTTTATATATAAAATGATAGATGACATTTTTATTTCACTTACCCCGGATACATTCTATAAACAATATTACTGATATTGTGATTATAAAGTGGATTGGGTTTGTTGGTGGGTCTTGAATCACACCAGAAACATTTTTTTCTTTCTTCGTCCAAATGGGATACTATGCAGTATCTCTCTTGTCCATGAAGACCGCATGTTGATGAAGAATATAGCTGACCTTCTCTGCCTATGAGCAAGTTTCCAGTAGCTGGGTAACATGAACTTTGCTCACACGGGTGATGCTTCGCTTCATAGCCTAAATTCATGAACGTTTAGTTTATCTATAATAATGGTATTAACAGGGTTAGGATATTGATTAGTTAAGTGCTTCGTTAATCGTTCCACTCTTCTAGACCGACACCTTAAATGAAAAATCCCTAGTTAATGTAAGATAATTGTTAATGTATTAAGGGATTCACAGTAATGTCCAGAATGCAAGTCTGTGTATTAGGAGCTCATTTCATTTCACACCGGCATGATTTGAGAAATAAATAATTCTGGTATAAACCTACTCAATACTAGGCACTCCCAAATATTTTCTTTTTTGTAAAAATAGTGTTAGCGGAGAGCCGTTAAATTGAATATCCCGCCACATTGCCCGTGTTGCAAAGCCATCTCTTTTAATGTTGTTGTTATTCAGTTGGTTGGTGACATCTAAGTCGTGATTCTGGTGGTTGCTTCACAAAATTTCCTATTAGGCAATTCAAGCCATCTGTCAAAAAGGAAAATTCAATATGGCATGGCGGCCAAGCAAGCTTGTTTCGAATATGTTTTCATGCGTATTTTAAATTATTTTGCTTAGAGGTTTGCTTGCAACTTTGATTTTGATTATTTAATAAAATTTTTGTAGACTAGGTACCTAAACTATTAAATCGGGCAGAAACTAGATATTTTTTTGTGGTTTTTGGCCCATGTGTGGCCGCCACGCCATCTTGAGTGTTACGTGGTTTGAATTGCCTAATTATTGATGTATGTCTGTCAGCTTTCATGACGGTCACCGAATGCGCGGGTGGCGCGCGTTTAGCATTCTGGGCTATGAACAAAATGGCGGTACGCCCTGTGAAAGCGGGTGGTTGCAATGAACTAAACAAACACACTGGAACGGTGGCTGCCTGATGTTCCTACGCAAGGGTTTGTGCCAGGAAGGACAACAAACAAGAGGGATTTGCATCTCTCTCTGCACTATGGCGGCTATTGAGAACAGCTGTTTGAAGTGTTTGGATCATTGAGGTTAGGAAGATGAAGAAGCTCTTCTTTCTTTTACATTAATCTTAATGAGTCCGAGCGAGACAAAATCCCTCCGTGCTGAGTTGCATACATCAAAATTTGCCTCACTAGCTTAAAGCAGTGCGCCTGTTCCAGAGTGTTTGTTTAGTTCAATAGGTGGTTGAGATACAGTAAAGCTTCGTGAATTCAGACGAAAAAAAATATTCCCTTATTCACATTATGTATCCACCAACCGGAGTTATTCACCAGTCAACAATACCGATAAGTCATAAATACCACTGTGCAATCAGTAGGTAATGCCGCGAAATTAGTTTTAAGAAAATAAAAGTTCTCAAAACTAGTTTTGCGAATTTTTTGATTGCCCGAATTCATATAACGAGCGTGACTGAAAGGTATATATGTATAGAATTAGAAATTATGGAAAAATTCAAGTAGTGCTTTCAGTCAATTTGAATTCTCCACCAATATTTTATCATCACGTTGTTATAAAAAAAAGCAGGTATAAGTATAGGTACTATGATCGAAAAAGTATATTTGAAATAAATAATGATGAAAAAATTAATGAGAAAGTATGTCCCATTTTCGATGTTTCAAGGGGTTTTATCACAAACCAAGAAAATACCAGGTGTTTCTCAAAACCCGCTCACCCCTATAACTTTTTTATTTTTAAAAATAAACAGATGAAATTTTTTGTGTTTATTTATGACCCGGATGTGCATTATTTGACGTATTCAATTATTTATTATCACTTCCGGTTTGACCGGAAGTGACCCTATAACTTCCTTATTTTAAATGAGACGCCAGGTATATTTTCCCCTATTTCAAAAGAAAACTACCTCACAAGTACCTACAATGACACCTCATTTGTCACTTTTTGACATTTCATCTCCGAATTATTTGAATTTTTAGTTTTTAATCTAGAGCGTCATGAATTAGTTGAAATGCTTAATTTTGCTCCAAGGAATCTGGGCAAATTTGTTTTGATCTTATTTTGTATTTCATATCCTCTGCAGACTCATTTAAAAATAGCAGAAGCGCATTTTGAGATTATATAAATTTTTTCAAATGAAAAGGGTATGGCTCATAAGCATATTCTGAAAGAGCATTTTCTATCGAACAATTTAGTACCACACAATCGGTAGTTTATTTAAATATTGAACTAAAATTTTCCAAAAATATTTAGAATGCTTGAAAATTTCTTAATATGAGTAATGAACTAGCGATTGTGTGGTATCAAATTGCTCGTTAGAAAATGCTCTTTTGAAATATGCTAATGAGCCACACTCTTTCCATTTGAAAAAACTGATAAAGTTCCAAAAATTCGGTTCTTCTATTTTTAAATGACTGTAGAGGATATAAAATACATAATAAGATAAAAACAAATTTTCCCAGGTTCCTTGGAGCAAAATTAAGCATTTTAACTAATTTATGGCACTCTAAATTAAAAAGTAAGAATTTAAATAATTTGGAGATGAAATGTCAAAAAGTAACAAATGAGGTGTCAATGGCTACGTTCACCAGAACCAAAACGGATTGTAAACAGTTTACAAATACCAACAGAATACGTTGGGTAAACTCTTGGTTCTGCTGAACGATTCAACTTTTCGATAGAACGTCATCCTATGTCATGTCACTACAGTTGAGTTTGGAATGAGATTTTACTGCGGTGTTCGTGTAGTGCAGGGTTATATCACGTGATGAGGGTGTAATCGGCGGTGTAACACCGAATACACCATCATTTTGTAGAGGGTGTTCCACTATTTTTACACCATTCAGGCACCAAGTTATTTCCAAACGCAAATAAAGTATGTACACCAAACTTTCTCCTACCAACTAACGACTGCCACAGTGTCAATAGTGTAAAAAGTGTCGACATCCACTTTGTATCATTCCGAACTCACCTTACACAAAACACAAATAGGGTGTTCATTTGTACTGCTTTTCTTGTTCAAGCAGATCTCAGCAGATTGGCGTTCACTTGTCCCATATATTAAAAGCTCATAAATAGCAGCGCCTAGCAGATCCTTCTAATTTCCGAGCAGGTAGAGCAAGTACAAATGAACAGCCTAAAAGTGTTGAAAATTAAAAACAATCTTAATTTATGTTTGCAAAAATGGCGAACGTTTGTAAAACATGTTTGGTTCCAACACAAATTCAACGTAGCATTCAGCAGAACAATCTCAAAGCGTTTACCAACGTTTGTATCTGGTGAACGTGTTTATTGTACTCGTAATGTAGTTTTCTATGGAAATAAGGGAAAATATACCTGCGGCGTCTCATTCAAAATAAGAAAGTTAGGGTCACTCCCGGTCAAACTGGAAGTGATAATAAATAATTGAGTACGTCAAATTATGCCCAACCGGGTCATAAATTAACACACCAAATTTCATTTGTTTATTTGTAAAAATTAAAAAGTTATAGGGGTGAGCGGGTTTTGAAAAACACCCGGTATAACAATATTGCATTTAAGAAATACATGGCGATTTTCCATTTTGTCCCAATAGGTAGGGATGTCCAGGATCGATTCGATTCTTAGTTGAATCGATTTTTTCAAGCGATGCATCGGAGAAATCGAATCGATTTAGCAGTAGAGAATCGATTCAGTGAATCGATTCATCAGACCCAATGCCCAATGCTTTTACTGCAGGCACCATCTATGAAAACAGAAGAAACAAATGAAAAAACATAGTAAAAAAGTCTTTATTTAGGGTTTTTCGTTTAGTGATGCATATAACTTTTTCTTTTATGTGTATGTAAAGAAAGAAATGAGAACTAATCAATGATGATAAACTTCTGGGAGCAAAAATGATGACAGTGTTGACATTATTTGACAGTTGACGCAAAGTGACGTTAAGATGAGTTTAATCTCGTTTTCTTCAATGAATAAAATCCCTCTAATCCAATGTCCAACTTGAGGCGTTTTCTCGCGTCCACTTTTTTGAAACTGGTTCAAAACTGTTTTGAAAAACTACATTCTCGCGATAAACATGTGACGTCACGTCAAAATTGGTTCAAACCATTTCGAAATACAATCCAATCCACGTTTTCAAACCATTTTCTCGCGCCGAAAAATTATGACATCATGGTGACATTACTTAAACCAGTTTTGAAAAATGTTTTGAAACATTTGAGACGCGAGAAAACGCCTTTGATCTTTTTTGAATCGAATAGATCGATTAATTTCACCCAATAATTGCATCGAATCGATTCGTCATTTACGAATCGAATCGATTCGCATGAATCGATTCATTGGAATATTTTGGCCATCCCTACCAATAGGTAAATATTACGAGACCTTATTTCTTTATTATTCAAGATATCGAAAAACAAAACAATTGCTATAGGTATAGTGGCCCCCACAGATAATCGAGATTCCTACAAAAAAATATTTCTTTGTCGGCGATCCCGCATAAACAAAAACCGTAGAAAAAACTACAGATAAGGGTTGGGAATAAATTTAGTCCAAGAGCATCAATTAAATTCATTTTGCTTATAGTATTATTGTATTGTTCTGGATTCGATTAAGTACTTAATTTCTTGCATTAAATATGTGAAATATCTTTTAAGAAAATTGGAAAATAATTTTAAACATTATATACAACAATTTAAACCGAATAATTTTAAACTAATATAATCTTGAACTCAAGCGATTCCTGACCCGTGCCCCCTGACTAAAAGCAGGCCTGCTGATAATATAAACATACTTTTTTGTACGATCTCGATTATCTCTGGCGGATACTATACCTATATAGGAAGTTGTTCCGATTTTTTTCCAAATACCTTTGATTCTTTGATTCTGGAATATTGAACAGAAGTGTGTTTATTCGATAGCCAACCCAAACTATACCTATGTTTCGATTTTATTGCATAGCTATCGTTGAGCCGATTTTGATGATATGCAATTGTATAGGTTCAGCTCTATTATATAGTTTTTGAGAACAAAAAAGCCATTTTTTCCATAGGAAACAATGAGTTAGAAAGAGAGACTGGAAAACTATGGAAGATAATTCTTAACAAAGTAAGTATAGC